TTGAAGCATAAACACGGTAGTAGGTCAAGCCAAATTCAAACGTAGGTATGTCAAAGCAKAAAGAAATCATTTGWGGAATAAAGAATATATATCTGTCTTCATGTTCAAATTTTTGGAGATGGAGAATTTAGGTTTCTTAAAGAGTTTTTTATTTAACATTTTATTGAGGTTTCTTCTTTACTGGTTATGTACCATTTTCTCGACTCATAGATTTCCCTTGCTATCATCATCTTGTAAGCAAAGCCCAATTTGGTGGGGAAACCATAGGTGAAAACACAATAAAAATTGAAAGTGACAATAATTTTTCTCTACTTCACTACAAAAAAGTAGATAAAATTTTTCTCTACTTCACTAATGGGTACTGTCACTACTATCAACTCATAGGAATTTCTTTTWCTGTAGAAAGTAGGCAAGGATTCATTAGGATCCAATTTATAAAGTGTTTTTGATCCCCACTCAAGTTGCACCCCTAATTTTAATTTTCTGATTAGTAGAAAATCTCAATTACAGCTGATTGACTATATTTATCAACCTTCAGCCTCAATAAGCAGGGCGATAGAATTCTGTAGAGAGTCAGTTCAGATGAGGCAATCAGAGTAATAAGCACCTCACCCAAAAATAGAGCACACAACCTAACTCTCTCATCCTAACCCAATACAATGTTTAAAAAATAGAAAAACAAAAACCAATCATAAACCAACAAGACCATTGACCTACACAAATAGACAGAATACCAAAGTATTCTTTAAGCATGTAGCAACATTGCCATGCTTGGAAACTCATCGATGGTATTATAATCATAGAAGTTTTCTTCATTGATACCCTTATTAGCAATGAAGTTGGTACACTTGTTGCCTTGTTTTAATGTTTAAGAAAGGGAAAGGCTCATGCCAACACTTGTTTTCTTTATTTTTTGAAAGATTGCTAGATGTAAACTTGCCAAGGGTGTGGGTATTTTCTCAAGGAATATATCAAACAAACATTGRTTATCATTCTAAACCACTATTTCCAAAATGTTGTGAGATAAGAAAATCTGAAGGCCATGAAAGCATTAAATTTARTACAAATAGAGGTTCCCTCACTRTAAAAATTATGGAAAGTAAGCTTCTTATAAAGTAAAATAGTCRCATGATTTTTGCACATTAATGCTTTGGTTGCACCCTAACCACAAGAATTGTTATTCTTTCAAWTGATATGTATGCTGAATGGTATATAAAACTAGTGATATATCAAAAACTTAGATCTTTATTTTATAAATTTCTTGTCATCTTGGCATTGCCTAGGAGCCCACCTAGGCAACTAGGTACCCCATTGTCACCCAGAATCACCTGATGTGTTGACAAGTATGATTAGCAGTTGACTTTAAAACAATTGAGCACATCAAGAGGGGGTTCATGTCTACAACCCTAGTTGTWGTGATCAAATMAAMWAGACYAGATGATTTGGTCTTTTGAATTTAAAACTATAGGAATTGTGTGTATATTTTATGGTCAGTCGCAATAAAATGCTTCAACCAAGGCTGCAGAAAATGCATTTGGACCTGCTGGTTATTTATTAGTAGCTGTCTATACTTACATGCTTGCTTGATGAAGGTGCATTCAATTGTAGATCCAGCAATTGATCCCACTTATAGATAATCAGTAAATCAGGAGTAGTGGGCTAGGTGAGGTCTGTAAATGGATTGCATTTAACAATATCTGAGTCCAATCTGAATATTGAAAAATGACATCTGAATCCAATCCGAAATCTGATCAGATTTGAAGATCCCGGGTTCGAATTTGAATCCTAATGGACTTGGATCAGATTCAGATTTAATCCGACACCGCTTTAATTTTTAAAATACAGAAAAAATTAAGAAGTTAATGACTTTTTAATAAATTCATATAAATATGACATACTAAATATATTATATATATTTTCATATATAATATAATATACAATTATATTTTTTATAATTTCAAATATGATTATATAAATTTTATATATTAAAATCAATGAATATTATAATATAATCGAATTTGGATTTTAACTGGATTGGATGGAGTTAAATCCACATCCAATAATGCAGATTGCAAAATCCAAATCCAATCCGATTATGTAAACACATAATCCTAATCCAAGATGATTGGATTGGATGTCAGATCAGACATCAGACTTTCAGAGGCCATTGACAACCCTAGGCTAGGTGAGGTATATTTTATTTTTCTGTACCACCATGCCAAGCAGATCCAAATTTTGCCAATTGATCAACTATATAATTTAGTTCCCTAGGAACCCAATTAAGGTTGACATGCAAGGAACCCAAGATGTCTCTGTTCTCTGTCAGATAGTGGGCTAACTTCCAAGGGCCTCCATCCTTCTCTCTTTATCATTTTATTGTGTTTGCAGAGTTCTGTCTTTTGCAATTCAGAGACCTGTGAGGACAACTAGAATTTCAGCCTTTGTTGAGTCAGATGTCCCTATCAGATCACTAAAAACCCACCAAATTTTGACATCCCTCTTCTTGAACAGACCACCAACCCCTGCTGAAATGGGGTTACCAATGGCACTACCATCRAAATTTACTTTCAACTCCAACACTTCTGGTATAGGACAGCTTCTGCTAATAATACTTAGTGGCCTGGGAGATGAATGCAGGATCTCTAACAAGTTCATTTGAAGATCACCCATCAAGATGCCTTTGAACTCAGAGGTTGCTTAACTGAAAGACTTTATTATCCCTCACTCCCTCCTTAAAGTCTTACTCACTGGTTGTTTTGAACTGAAAGACTTTATTGTTCCTATTTATTATCCCTCACTCCCTCCTTAAAAACTTTATTATTCATATTCTGTCTTTGAACTCAGAGGTTGCTGAACTGAGTCTAGCATTATGGCAACTTTGAATGGGTACCCTCATGATCCAACCTCATGATCCAGCTATGGCAACTTTGAATGGGTACCCTCCATGTTTTAATTTTCTAAATCCTTAACTAGATTTCTGGTCCATGAGGAAGGCATACCAATCTTGTTCTTATCAAAATAAGAACATGGCACCAATCCGGTCCTTACCAACATGGGTAATCTGGTCCTTCAGGTAATGGGTAACTTCCAGGAAGGCATGCTTGACCGCCCTAGCTTCCACTTCAGCCCCTGCCCCACCTAACACCCTTATAGCACTGAATTATTCTTAGGACTGCATTCTGGAAACTCGGGGCCCCACAGGGCATGCCCCACAGCACATCCCAACCATGTATTGAAAACATCAATCTTTCAACGATAAGTACAAGAGATGTTCCCAATGCACACTGAGATGAGCATGTGGGGCGCTGATGTGATTTCTGTGGTGTATTTTAGTATATCCTACTTTTTAACGAGAATTTGCAAGAGGAATGTTCTTCTGTGTTCCCTAAACATTTTTTTCTTCCCTTCAAGATGGGTGAAGATTTTTGAAGCCTAATTCAGAATACAATCCTGTTTCTAAATAGTTGAAGTTGTGATTTGAAGTATTGAACTTGATCAAGCAGAGGTATGCATGCAACAGTTTCCTCGAGGCTTGAGTTGAAGTTTAAAAAATGGGTGCCATTTTGATAAGGGCAGGGATCAGTTAACACCCCTGCTGAAGGACCAGATTGCTGGAAGTTACCCATTATCAAAATAAGAACTTGGGTCAGTTTMTCATCTTTGAGTTTGCTTGTATCTACATAATCCCATGGCAACATCAGTCTACCCCCATTTGTGAGTTTGCTAAAATAGAGATTATTTCAAGTTAGCATTAATTTAGCATTTTAGTTGAGTAGAACAGATGATTTCGTGTTAGCATTAATCCCATGTAACCAATCTTGATCTGTTGCATGCTAGTTGAGTAGAACAGAGGTTTCACTATCACTTGACTTGAACTACTTTGATGAATTGGTCTACTGTCATCAATTTGAGACTGTAGCATGATAGGTTTTGGTTTGTTGCTTTACCCAGGTAGCTTTGCATTGTTAGCTTTTAGAACTCRTTGGCAACAAGAATGAGGTTTGAACTCAAGTTGGACAGATTGTAATAGGATATCTGATATGAACTGCCTTATTGTCTTCTAAAACCAAATAATAAAACAGAATAATGAAGGTTTGTGTCAAAGAAACCAGGTTGTGACCCTTAAAACATGAAGTTATGTTGCAATGAGTTAAGTACTAGATTATCTTACCACAGTAGCAAAATAAATAAGGAAAAGTTTACCAGGGGTAGTTTTCTTTTTCTTAATGTGAATTTCCTTCCCTACCATAATAAACTTATTCAAATTTAAAAGGATCTAAAGAATGATGGACTAAGGTCATTATAAGAGTCAGCATGCCAATGTAAATTCTAGAATACTAAAATGAAGTGTGTAAGCATATAAATTTCTTTTAACAAAGATATTTCAGTTTGTGGTAGTTATTCTAGTCATTACTTAAACATCTTCCACAAACCTTTTGGAGAGAAAATTAAATTAAAGATCAACAAACAAAGAAAAAAAAGTAAGTGAAGTAATGATTCTCATAGTTTGACAGTCTATCTTAACCAGTCTAAAATTGGTCTAAGTCCCTAGGATCCACAAATGAGCCCAGGGCCCCCAAACTTAGACCCCAAATCAACCCAAATAGAATTATCAACAACTATATATTGATTTGATTAGTATTGTGGGGAACAATTTTGAAACAAAAATGAAACTATACATAGTGSATAGTACTTCTAATTCAAAGATTTTATTGATCAAAGTTGTTTGATTTAGCGAAATGAGGATTCCACGTCAAGGAAGGTCAAGCCTAAGGGTCAATCTATCAACCTCAAGCCAAGAACCACCTGGAGATGCTCAAGCTAGCCAGCAGCTCGAGATTAACATGCCAGAGCCCCAATCCCAACAAACTGAAGATAGGGCTTCATCACAAAGTACAAGGACTCGGGGTGCTACAGCGGCGGCAGACGTATGGAGCATGCCTAGTGATGAGAAGATTGACCTTGAGTTTAATGAAGATGGTCAACCCATAAATGAAAATGCGAAGAGGCTAACAAGATTTTTGGGTTCCATCGCACGGAATGGTAATAAGTTGCCAATAGATGTAGACTCTTGGAGAGATGTACCGATAGAGACAAAAGAAGAGGTGTGGAAAGTCGTTCAGGTATGGATGGAGTTAGCTTTTTTTTTGTTCTTTTCAATATATATGTTGTATATGCATAAACTAAAACTTTCTCCTATGGTTGCAGACAAAGTTTAAAACAAAAGAAAATGACAAGGATTTTGTGTTAAAGTCTCTGTCGAAGAAGTGGAGAGGTTGGAAGTGTGACCTGAAGAAAAAATATTTTGATTTTGATCCACATAATGCTGATAAAGTACAAATTAGAGATGATCAAATTCATCCCCAACAATGGAAAAACATGGTGCAATATTGGAAATCTGAACAAGGGAGAATGAGTATCTTAAATAATTTAAAAATGAAAATTTTAGTTGATGGTATGATAAATATTATACTTTCTTTTATGGGTGCAAGCACAGTCTGAGATTAATAAACAAAACCGTTCAAAGCAAACAATGTGCCACACAGCAGGCTCAAAGAGCTTCGCAAGGATATGTGAGGAATTAGTAGTTAATTGTATTTTTTTCTTTCTTTGTATTGTATATAATATGTTTTAAATTTTATATGTTAACAAATACACAATATTTCACAATGATAGAGGGAAGAAAAAGGCCATGAGGTGTCTCATACAGAGTTTTTTTTTTTTTTTTATGACACATGCAAAGGACGGGACTCTTGTCGATTAAAGATTAGCCAATTTGATGGTATATATTTTAGTTCTTTCATTTGTGGCATTTTTAATTTAATATTATTTATTTGAAAATAATTCTTTTAAACACATTCTTTTCCTATTGTATAGAATCAAATGCAAAATTTCATGGCTCAAGATTCTGGGAGTTCGGGTGGGGCAAATGGCTCTTCCTCAGAAGATGTTTATGCTCGTGTAATGGGAGAAGAGCGTCGTGGTTGAGTACGTGGGGTAAGGTTGGGTCCAACTCCAACTAGTATTAGAAGCTGTGATAAGTATGCTGCATTGCTGAGAGAATCAGATGAGGCTAGAAGAAAGGCTGAGGAACGGGAAAGAGCATCTGAGGAACATGCAAAGAAGGTTGGGATGGAAGTGTCTACTTCGAGGGCGGACTGGTTATCCATGCAAAATCAAATGAATGATTTCATTTCAAATACGAAGACATTATTCGTCTACTCCCTTCTCTCAGTTTAGTGGCCATTTTCAACTCTGAAACACAAAATATTCTGGTATATGTTATTTTATATATAATTTTAGTAAATAATAAGATTCTAGTTTTCCATTATATTGACATGTAAATGCCTCATCTACAGGACGGTTTTGAAGTTGATTTACTAAGCCTCATCGAAAACCAGAAAATTCTTGTGGCAGAAGGAATAGTCATTAGCTCAGATCCATCAAAAGTTGTAGGGCCCCAAACACTGGTCAATGATGGTATGAGGTTATGGTTACTGTCCCAATATTGCCAGAACAACCACTTGTTCGTCCATATGGCTCAGTTAGAACAGTTGGAACAGTTGTTGGGGCAAATATTCCTTGGCTATCTCTATATGTAAGATACAAAATTTTGAGTCTAATTTTATCAATGAGCTTTTATGTTATAGTTAAGAATATTTATTTTAACCGGTTAAATGTTTTTGTTTGCATGTTAAACCAGTACAACATTGAGGATTTAAATGATGGAAAAGTTTATTAATTTCTTATTTATATAGTTTCTGTTTACTTTTGACTTACATGCTTTTTGTATTTTCCAAGACAAGTTACATTGGATTTTATATTTTCTCAATTTAGTATGTTTGTTCAATAGATGGATTTGATTTTATTTATTTATTGTTGGCCAAGGAAAAGGAGTTGGAAAAATAATTTCTTAGATGTTGGAACTGTCTATGATATGGAAACAAAACCACGATCTTTCTTTGAAAATATTCAGTTAATAACACTGGTTGTCTTCTCATAGCTCTCATTTGTGATACTAATAGTTTAAAGAAAGTGTAGCACAATTTGCACGGGAGAATACTGCTCCACATGCATCAAAAGGGGACAGGACAAACCACTTTTTAGAGGTCTATCCAATTGCTCCTAAAGCAGTACTAGGGGTCTTGCTAACCTAGACAGGTTAAACCATGTCTAAAGGCATGTTTTTTGCAATTTTTTATTCAACACTATTGTTTACAATGAATCTCTCCTAATCAAACACTTCCCTCATTGGATTTTTTTGATATGCAGATTTGTCTTTGGTGTGACAGCATTGCTTCCACTGATAACATCTACTGTTGTTCTTGTTAAAGGACAACTTATGTCTAGATATAATCTTTCTCTGTCAGGTCCTGGCTTTTTTGAGAGCTCAAAACAGAATATAATTCAGCTATGGAATGCTGTCAGGCCGCCTAATGTATTTTTGCCCACCTTATTCATCTTCCTGTGGCAAGCAACTCCGCAATCAGGTTCTGCCATGTTTTTCTTTACGCAAGTTCTTTCATCTTATATTTTAAGGATGTTATAGTTGATAGGTACTTGAAACTTCTATAATTTCTGAGCATCTGTTTTGGTTCCTTGTTTGGGTTTCAGGACAAACAGACTTGGTTTCACCCCATAATTTTTAGGTCGTGTCAAGCTTGTTACTCCAGTCACATCATTGATAGGTGTTGGACTGTATAATGGATTTTTGAAGAATGTTCCCTTGCAGAAGATTTTTCTATCTACAACCATTATAGGTTTGTCTGAGCTGAGGATAGGTTTTTTTTTTTTTTGGTTCCTTTCAACTAAGATTGTTTGAGAATTTTAAATTTCTAGGTTTCCATGGTCATTTTTACATACGATTTTATCATGTATATCTTCCTCGGATTTTCCTTGTTACTGGACTAAATCAGTAGTTTGGTGTAAGTGATGAATGGTTCGATATTGGAGATTCTTTGATTATAACAGTCCTTGGTCAGGTAACATATAATTTTTTAGCCATTTCATAGATATATGGCCATTTTAAACAGTAACTCTATCATACATTGTGGATGATATTTAAACTATTGGCTATTTCACAGAAACTTTAAATGCTATCAATTACTTAATTTTGTAGGATAGATGGTGGTTTCTCTGATATTAAGATAATGATGGGTGAATAGACAGTGAGATAAATATCTTTTTTTTATAGGAATTGCATATATATATATATATCCAAATTTGAGAGTTTTTATACATCCATTATAATAAAAGAGGTAAAATGATGTGAAGTGTAAAGGTATCCATCCACTCTTTGGACAATTTGGGAAAAAAGAACTCAAGAATTTTAAAGGGTAAAGTAAAGCAAAGGAAATCTACAAGAAAACATTCTGATCAGGGTGGAAAACCGACTAAAAACTTCTACTTTATTTGCTGATTTTACAGTAAATGATATGTAAGCATGTGGAAGCTCATAGATGATTCCTCATACATCCATAGGTTGCTTACCTCTCTATGATTGGATTCCTTCTTCTATGACATGCAAAGTTAAGAGTCACAGTAACTTTGTTGTACGGCAGAGCCTGCACTATAGGTATATGGCCACAGGTACACCACCCGATTCAGTAGTCCATATTGGTTTGTTCCACACTAATGATCTGCAACAACACTTCAAACAAGTCTCCAAGGGAGTATAAGACTAGCCTTTTCCAGTCTCTTGGACATTGAAATCAAACTTGAAAGAATGGCTCCATTGCTTACACCAGAAGCAAGTTTCAGTACAAAATCTAAATTATGGAACCTCATCACTGAACCTAGATGGATTACATAATATTTAATCAGAAGTGGTTCAACTGTACCACTAATTTCTCAAGGAAGGATTGCAGCCTTTTTTAGCAATCTTACTACCTTAGATGGAAATGATGGTCTACATTTTTTGTTTTTTGTAATTTGAAGGCACATGAATGCTACTTTGATTTAGGGTCTTCATCTACATCCATGCCTAGGAGATTTCAGAATAGGTTGATCTTCTACCTATGAAGGTATAATGGGTAGGGCTCACTGGCTGACTTTGGGTCCCCAAGACCTTCCTTTCCAGCTTTCTATCCAGAAATTGTGGGTGCCATCAGTAGCTAATCAGTGTAACCAATACTCAAAGCTGGCTACACAATACAGGCTCACCAAAACACTTTATTTTCTTGCGGATGAAGATTTGCCCACAATGAAAGTGATCTGGTTTTGATCCACAAGCTTACAGGGATATTCCCAGCTTCTCCACGGTCTTCTCCTGTTCAGGAGATACTTTGAATGATTGGTGACCCTATTGACCAATTTTTAACCCTAGTGAYAGAAGAAAGACTAGTAGATTTCTACTATGATCTTCACATTCAATGCATGTGTTGGTAGGGTACAGTGCCATTTGTCTTTTTTAATGTGTTGTCCAAAATGCCAATCTTGTTCCAAGTAAATTGAGGTATGGGTTTGGGAATTTGGGCCTCATGGCTGAGAATGTGGCACAAAGGGCCCAAAATATAGAATCTCCATGATCTTCTAGGCGAGCCCACATAAACTAAACAAGTAACCATTAAGATGGTTTATTTTGATGTTTTCTTTACAATGTACCTACAACAGTCATTCTTCTACTTAGTGATAAATTTACCAAAGAAGATATTGATGGCAATGGCATGCTGTGGTTGTGTTGTTGATGAATAATTTTACCATTTCTATAAGTGGGCACATGAGAAGTCTAAGTTTTCTACTCGGATGCCTTTCATTGCTTGGTTGAGATATATTGTAGCTTCACAGGCTTAAGCAGTGGCTTTCTGAAAGCATCACCATGATGGGTGTAGAAGTGTCAATTTTCTATAAAAKATAGGCACAGGCTTAAGCAGTGGCTTTCTGTGCATATGTGGCCTGCTTGTATGCCATTGTTCAACATTTTAAAATCTAGAAAGAAATAAAAGGAAATAATATCTATCTACAGATTTTAAATATTAATTTAAATTTGCTGGAGTTTATAATTGCACTTATTCACATCGGTTTATTTTTCTTATAGTCCTGAATCCATTTTCATATATATTCAATCATAATTGCACTATCATCAAACTCAACCCAGATAAGATGATTGGGTGAGTAAATTAACTTGGTTCAATTTCCTACACTTTTTTTCTCTTTTTTTTTTCATTTCAACTACCTATTCTTAGGAGAATGTATACACCTGTCATGGGGCACTTATTTATTGTGTTCTATGCATGTTATATTATCATTTACCATTCAAACTTGTGTTATGACTTACGTGCTTGTAATCTATGTACAGGTAGGGGAGTTTTAGGATTATCAATTCCTGGTTGCCCTGAAGCGTTCCAATTATTCTGGCAAGATGAACAATCCAAGGAAGAAGGTTGTAGAAGCCAAAGATCAGGGGAAGGCAGTCAAAGATCAAAGGAACAATAAATTGTCATAGATCAATAATTTTATTTGAACAATTTGTTTTGGATACTATAATGATTAATCTTTATATTARTAGATTGAGTTTTACATTTAAACTTTTATTCAAGTTGTTTAAGTTTCCATATATCAATTTGCAACAGTGTATTAAGTATGTATTATAGTGGTGGATCAATAAAGTGCAGATATAAAAAGATGTTGAAAATAACATATCATAAAAAAATAGTGATCAAAGCCGGCGATCACCTAATCGCCGGCGTAGCTATACATAAGGCCATTTTAAGTATGATCTAAGCCGGTGGTTCAGGCTGCCACTAAAACGAGCAGGACATTTTTTGCAAAATTTAGGCTGGTGGTCCAGACCGTTGCCTAAAGGAGCTGGCCAGTTTTTGACAAAACTAAAGCAGGCGGTTCCGATCACCGCCTAAAAGAGTAGGGCTTTTTTACTAAAACCTACACTGGCAGTCCATGGTGTCTATGTCGGTGGTTTACACCSTCGGCACACATGTAAATTGAAAATCATGCTGGTGGTCTGCTTTTACTTGTATCGATGGTTTGTAATGTCGGCATTTATAATATATTTAAAATTATTTATTTATTTGTTTTACTTTATTGGTGCTTTATGACTGCAAATATAGTAAAGGATAAGCTGGCAGTTTTGACAAAACACCAACAATACTTAATTTAATAGTCCAAATTGATGCCACCTAGGCCGGCGGTTTTGTACAGATTTGTCGGTGGTCATCAGTTTCCCCAACGGTGGCTATACCGAGAAAGAAAGACCTCTGGTAGATCATTGGCATTGGTCAATGACGGTGGTCATGTGGTTTTTGCCAGCAGTCCCAAACCGCTGACAAAAACCTATTTTTTTGTAGTGGGAGTTTGCTCCATAAAGAGATAAAGAGAGAAGTGGATGAACCAATCTTGGAGTCTCACTCCACTTTCTTGTTCTCTTATCTTCTCTCTTGTCTCTTAAGAAACCCAAATTCGATCTAGGCTTTCAAGAACTGATTTTTATCAGTTTTCTTTTGTGTTTTTGCAAGAAAAACATTGAAGAAATTCAGTCTCACATCTCACTATATCCAAGCAAATTGGATAGCAGAATTGCTTAAACAAGTGTTGTTAAATCGGTTTCTCCTGTACACTGCGCCATCTTCAGTTGGAGGTTAATCTTGGGACTATTATTGGTTGTGAACTACTACCTTGGGGGTTGTTATTTGTGGTCTCCATATCAGTTATAATCTCCTTTCATTTTGGTTTCAAGTCTGGCTTGGTTTAGTGCAAGATCGATCAAAAATAAATAAATTTTTTAAAACATCGAGAAATCGATTCCCATAAGGGTTAGAAAAAACTTTGAAGTTTTGCCCAACCATCAAGCATAGTTTGATCATCCATAAGATGGATTCTAAACCCTTCCGATAGTGGTATCAGAGCACTAGGTTCAGTTCTTGGATTGAACCAAATTAGATTTGAAAGAAAGATCAAATCGGCATGAACTAGTATAGTCGATTTGACCTAGCCAGCATAATCTCTGAGAATTCAGTTCTCAGAAATGGAGCCAAAGATTTGAAAACTAATCTTTATATTTTCTGATATTATTTAGAATTGTTTGATGTTGAATTCTTGAATTCTTAGGCTGAAAGTGTAATAGAGATCAAATTCTTTAATGGTGGTAAGATTTATGTGCACCATAAGATTATTTGATTATTTGGTCTGTAATTATTTTTTTCTAATTTATTTACATTGAAGAACTTGCTGGAGATCGCGGAGAAAGATGGAGAGGGAGTTCGATGTGGAGATAGCAATTTGTTAGCTTCTTGCATTTGTTCGGATTATTCAGACTATAACACTATCAACCCTAATTACTTAATTTGTTAAATTTTTGTTTATTTGTTGATATGATTGTGAGTCATAACTGAGAATTTTTAGATAAAAATCTATGTGGATTGATGCATGTTTTGGGCTGAACCTATAGTTGGTTGGAGACTGATAACAGTCCATTGAATTACTGTATAAGTGATCAAATTTGGATCTAGGCCAAGGGTTTAATGGGCCATTACATGGAACAGTTCATTCCATACTTGTAAGCCCATTTCAACATGGATAACTATATGGGTTAAACTGCTTTTGGTAGTTGGGCTCATATACCAAGATAAATATTATTAGATAATTGGGTCCATTAATAGGATAATCATATGTTAACCTAAATGGGTCTAGGATTTATAATGATTTTGATCAATTATGTGTGTGACATGCTATGTGAATGTGATTCGTACATGGGCTATAAGTGCTTGGTCCATGCAAGACTTATGTGGCTTTCCACACCCATCATTGTTGAATGCACATCATTGCCATGATGTCCATGGATTATTGAATAATCTCCTTTTAATGGTCTCTTATCTTGTTTCCTCTCTAAGACCTAAAGCTGACGTAGGGACTGATATATTTGTTCCCTCATGAATAATATAAGTGCTATGAGATAGGGAATATCATACATAACATTCCTACATCATTCTTAATGAACAGAATGTCGTCTATATACAGAATCATAAATGTAACCATATCTCCCACTGTCTTTCTATAAACACAAGGTTCATCTAGATTATGCTCAAAATTAAATTGTTTAACTATTGAGTCAAATCGGATGTTCCATCTTCTGAAAGCATGGCTATAGACGAGAAGGCCTCCTTATAATTGACTCCTTTCTGAGTGTACCCTTTCGCTACAAGCCGAGTTTTATAGGTCTCAACCTTTCCATCAGGGCCTTTCTTCCTCTTGTAAATCCATTTGCAACCGATTGCTTTCCCCCCAGGGGTGGGTCTACGAGAGTCTAGACTCCATTGGTTTTCATTGAGTCCATCTCAACTTTTATGGAATCTACCAACTTCAAGGAGTCTATGTCCAACATAGCATCCATATAAATCACGAGATCTTCCTCACTGTCTATAGCTTCCATCAAGTAACTTTCTTAATTAAAGTCATAACGTATTGGAGGTCTAGAAACCCAGGTAGATCTTCTAAGTTGGATATTGTTATTTGGAATCTGTGGGTTATCTCCCACTACTCCTGAGCTCTCTTCATCAAGAAAAGTTTCCTAATGATGATTGTTCAGGATGTAGCCCTCCTCCAAGAAGTAGGTATTTCGACTAATAAACTCTTTTTATTCTCGTAGATCATAGAAGAGATACCCTACAGAGTCCTTGGGGTAGCCAACAAATAGGTAATGGCTAGTTTTGGATTCCAATTTGTCCACACTTGTCTTTTTGACATGTGTTGGACAACCCCATATTTTCAAGTATCTTACACTTGGTTTCTTGCCAATCCATAGCTTATAAGGAATCTTAGGAACCAACTTGGTTGGAACCCAATTCAACATATAAATTGTAGTCTCTAATGCATGCTCCCAAAAGGAAAAGGGTAACTCTAAATGGATGAAGAGTGATCGGACCATATTTAATAGAGTCAGATTTCTTCTCTCTAACACACTGTTTAATTTTGGTGTAGCAAGAGGATACAACTATGATATAATCCCATTGTCCTTTAGGTAGCCCTTGAATTTGTTGAATAGATCTTCACCTCCTTGATCTGATCGAAGGGCTTTGATTTGTCTCCCCAACTATTTTTCAACTTCTTATCTAAATTCCTTGAACTTTTCAAAGGATTCAAACTTATATCTCATTAGGTACACGTTACCATATCGAGAATAATCATCGGTGAAATTTATGAAATAATAGCATTAGTTTTGTGCYCTAATATTCATGGGACCACATACACCAATGTGTATAAGGTCAAGTGTACCTGTAGTTCTTTCAGGTTTACCTGTAAATGGCCTTTTTGCCATCTTGCCTTGGAGGCAGGGCTCACAAGTTGAATCTTCCATAATGAGAAAAATCTAGAGGACCATCCTTCACCAATTTTGTGATACGTTCTATATTAATATGATCAAGTCGGTATTATCACAAGCACGTGGGATTAACTGTATCATGCGTTCTTTTCTTGGGGATGCGTTCCAATATAGTTTCGATTACATTTGTTTCTAGAGAATGATGGAGAACATAAAGACCATTCTCAAGTTCTCCATGAGTAAGGAAATTGTTATTCAATTTAATTGTAATCTTATTACTAGAAAAACCATCCTTACACAACTTAGGAATTAAAATTAGATTTATTAAGTAAAGGTACACAAATAGGGATCGCAATTTTCCCATTTCCCCTATCCCAGTGGGGATCCACCTGAAGAAAGGGTTAGCATTCGTCATATGGATGACGAAACCATGCTAGGTGGCTGGGAAATTTTTCAAAAATTTCCTAATCCTCCCAGGAATTAAATTCCTTATGTTTTGAAAAACTACATTTTAAGGATCGGTCTTGCACTGAAACAGACCAGATCTGAAACCAACCAAAGAGGGAGATGCATACCTGATACGGATACCACAAGCGCAAATCCCAAGGTGGAAGTTCATGCCCAAATCATTCCTAAAACAAGCCTCTACTGAAGATGGTGTAGTGTATTCCTGAAGCCGGTTCAACAATGCAGTCTTTAGCAAAACTGCAATCCAACTGCTTGGATCGAACTAGGGAGGTGAGCATGAAATTCCTCTGAATTTTTCTTGCAAAATTTAGAAGAAAACTGATCTATATCAGTCCCAAAATAGCTATTATCGAACTAGGGTTTCTTGGGAGACTAAAGAAGAAGAGAAAGCAGAATAGAGAGGTGTTCTTGTTCAGTTCGCCCTCTTCTTCTTTTATCTCTTTATGGAGCACTTCTCCTAGTCAAATTAGGAGATTATCCAAATCTAATTTGGATCAGGACTCTTAAGAGATAAACCTTATCCTCTTAAGAGGATAGGTGCTTCATACTAATTCATCATATTAATTATGGGCCTTAGGCCCATCAGCTATAAGGCTCACAACCCAAGGGTGTTGCATGGCCAATTTAGGCTTGATTTGTATGGTGTGGGACCCCACAATGAATCTTAACCTCTGTGAAAAGGCCTAGCCGAATTCACTGCTAAACACAGTGAACCCCTGAAGACATCACTATGGGTTCAAAATGATTCAACATTTACACTTAAGTGATTTTGTCCTTTTGCAAACATTTTTCATAAAACACATATATATAATATATCATATAAATATATTTAGCAAAACCAAATCTCAAACACAGTTGAAATCCA